CACACACACACACACACACACACACACACACACACACACACACACACACACAAATGACTTAAAAAGTGACACGTAAGTGTGCATCAGACACCGGAATATGCTGAGTAATTGTGGTCAGGCTCATACATAGCAGAAATCTTAGAAACCAATCAGCCCTGCATTATAATTGTTTAAAACACATTAACACCAGAAACCTGAAGGCACCTGACCTCTACATGAACCTCTCCTGAAATTACCTAATATTTATGAAAAATAATGAACATTTTCAACTTTTCCACCCTTTTTTTTTAGCACAAACAAATGAAAATAAAAAATGAAAAGCTCTGTGAAAAATCCTTTATGGAACATAAATGAACTTGGTATTTTCTGTCTCTGTGGTGAAACAGCACCTGGTTACACTTGCCTTGCTAACACTGGATGATTGGTAGCATTGTTCCCGCTTGTAGCTTTGCTCCTGGTTTTGTTTAGATCTGTCCATTTTCATTCTAACCATATTTATTAACCTGAAAAGTATGACTGAAAAATAATTTAACAAATAACAGCCACAGAAATTAAAAACGATGGTTGTTATTTCACTTTTACTATATCAAATTGCTGTGATTCAGTAGAACAAAAATCTTTTTGCAAGGTGTTTAAAAGTGTTTACCATGAATAGAAAACATTCTTTATATGCAAATCATAGAATCCCACATTAATAGTTATCCTTTTGTAAAAATAAAAACGTTTCAGAATTGAACTTGACATCAGTCAAACAGCAACATTTTGTGCACACTGGCCTATTAATTAGGATCTAAGCTCATTTTTACTTCTGTTGTGGACGACACCCTCTTGTTTACTGTGCTTTATCAAACAACAGACAAAGCTTTTTCATTTTTCCAAAGGAATATGTGATTCCTACGGAAGCCGAGAGCGGCCATTTTCCATTTATAATTATATTCCATGGTTTTCTCGTGATAACAACATAATATGTCATTATCACGAGATAACAAAAACCGTTTTCCCGTGATAATGAGTTACTTAAAGTGTATCTTAACCCCCTGTGAAAAGATAAATCCGCCCCAAGGCGAAATTTGAAAAATGCATCAAAGTGGGTAGGGGAGGGGGTGTGGGTGGGGAAGGGGGTGGGGTTTAGAGAGCGGAGGTGTGGTATTTTTGTTGGTGAACACTGCTCAGCAGACTCAGGAGCACCACCAGTGGTGGGGGATGGCCACCACTGAGAAAATAGCTGACAGTGCTTTTTGCATAAAAAAAACAACTGTTAAAAAAAGACCTATGTATATCAGAAGGTGATTCTCCACCACCTATATTGCTGTATTTTTCAAACATCTGACAACCACTTTGGTTTTGGTGCCACCCCTTGATGTTCAGAGAGGATTAACATGTCCACAAGTAGTTTTCCTTATTTATTTATCATGTCCTGTAGTTTTTTTTTTTTCAGGTGTGTGTGTCTTTCAAACTGAATGTCACAATCTTTTTTTAGACATCAGTTGTTTTTGTAAAAGGAAGGGTGCAGACTGGGTGGAGAATGTGGTTAAGAGGGGTGGAAGGGTGGCAGCAAACCTTCAACTTACAGACTAAAACTGAGCCAAATTAAAGGCTGTGGGCAGATGTGAAGTCAGCCTGAGTGCAGCTTTGTGTGTGTGTGTGTGTGTGCGTGTGTGTGTGTGTGTGTGTGTG